GGAAGCTGCAGCAATTTGTACATATCGTTTTTTTTTTTTGTTTGTTTTTTTAATTTTGCAGAAATGTAGGTAGAGGCACATTGTAACATTGGATGTGAGAATCTGTACATGTTAAGCAAGCATGTTTTGATAGTAGCTCGCTTAGCTGTATGCGCATTGCGCAATGTAACGTGATGCTACTGGTTGCGAAAATGAACGTTTTAATGGAAGGCTAAACCATTAAAAAAAAAAAGTCTGTCAACCAATTGAAAGTTAGTCGCGCTGCTACTATTAGTTACAATAGTTACTCCCTAAGATCGATCAGGTCACCATCTGCAGAGACTCAAGCGATCCAGTGACGGAAGTGCTGAGTTTAGTAAAGCACAAGTGCTCACAGCCGCGTGCCAGGAGAGCTTTGCTGAGAGGCTTTGAGAATACTTAGTGTCACAACTCTTTTCAGACCGATGCGTCATGCACTCAGCTGTCAATGAGAAAATAGTCAAGGCTCACAAATTAATTCAACAAAAAGAGCTCCACAAATGCCTCCACTCATGCGTCTGTCGACATTTATCAGGGAAAGCACTTGAGAGGCACGCCAATGCTACGCGCTAATCGCGCGCACCTGCAAACTATTCAGTTTGTTTTGAAATCCCGCTCGAAAACGCTAGAAATTAGCGAGCATTTGATCAACCTGTACAAACTGCTCCCAGTTCTAAAAAAATCCCTCCACTTGTGAAGCAAAAACAGAATTTATGTCATCGACGTCTTTGTAAAGATTCGCATTAGCGAATCTGCAGAGACTCAAGCGATCCAGTGACGGAAGTGCTGAGTTTAGTAAAGCACAAGTGCTCACAGCCGCGTGCCAGGAGAGCTTTGCTGAGAGGCTTTGAGAATACTTAGTGTCACAACTCTTTTCAGACCGATGCGTCATGCACTCAGCTGTCAAAGAGAAAATAGTCAAGGCTCACAAAATAATTCAACAAAAAGAGCTCCACAAATGCCTCCACTCATGCGTCTGTCGACATTTATCAGGGAAAGCACTTGAGAGGCTCGCCAATGCTACGCGCTAATCGCGCGCACCTGCAAACTATTCAGTTTGTTTTGAAATCCCGTTCGAAAACGCTAGAAATTAGCGAGCATTTGATCAACCTGTACAAACTGCTCCCAGTTCTAAAAAAAATCCCTCCACTTGTGAAGCAAAAACAGAATTTATGTCATCGACGTCTTTGTAAAGATTCGCATTAGCGAGCTAGCGTTCCGCACACAAGCTTTGTTGACTATGCGTGGCGGCTCGCCTTGTGCTGCAAAAATGATCATTTTGCTTGTCATAATTAATAGTGTTTTAAAGAGCATAATTCCTCTGTTGATTTGAGAGTAACTTAATGAGCTGAGCAGATGTTGAAGTCGTCTCTTCAGGGGGGAAATACTGTAGCCTCACAGGCCCAGTGAAATAAATTAGCACCTTAAAGACTGTTTCTGCACGCCTCGTAACCGCATCTGCTGCGCTTTTGTGACAGAGATGCAATATTATGTTAAATATTTCTCCCTAAATTAGAATGCAGCGGCTGTGCGTAAAGGTTTGCGAGAAAGGCCTGAGAGTTTAGGATAATGGATTGGGCAAAGTGAAAATAAATGTCTTATTGCTGATGGCACCTGCAGCACCTGCGCCTGCTATTGCGTTGCAGCGCTGTGGGTGTGTAAGCTGGAGCCACTCTTCCCTATTCTAATATTGATTTATAGGTCACTAGCGGGTTGAAGTTTTCATGGTGTTTAACATTGCTTTGATTGTCAAAGCATTCAGTAATGAAAATAAGAAACTGATTGACCAATGCTACACAGCCAGAAGCATTTCATTTCTGTTATCAAGAGCATTTTGTCTCTGTAACTTAAAGAATAAAATTTACATGTGTGTGTTGTAATTTAAGAAGGTATTTCTGTAAAAAGGGTATAGCGGACTTATTATAACTTGATTAGTAAACACAATGGCAAAAATTAGCACGACTGAGTCATATTGGTTGCTTTACCAATATTATTACAATGTTATCACAATATTATTATAATACCAATCAGTGTAATTGTATCAATTATTATAGAGTGTGATACTAATCAACAATAGCACAACAAAACCCTCAAAATCCATCAAATGCATTGCTAATATTTTATGCTTGTTTTCCCTCCAAAAATGATGTCACTTCCTGCAAAACTAAATTCCCAAGAAAACTGTTACAATTAGATTAGAAATATTTAAATTAATAATAATAATAATAATAATAAAAAGCTAGATTATTGCTTAATAAACTGCCAGTTTTTTTATAACCCTATTTGTGTTTAATTCACTGATATTTTTGTATGATTTATATATACAACTCTATTTATTAATATTTGAATATGTATTTAATAATAAATGTATTTAATATTCATTCATATTTTGAACAAGCTTTTTAATATTTTCAATTTCAAAATTTACAATTACATTTTACATTACTTGACATTTTTATAATTTTTTATATTTATCTTTTATTTATGTATTTAGTAATAGTAGTAGTTTTATGTCAACTTAAACTAAAAAAAAAAAAAAAAATCGTTTTTTAAACACTTTTTTTTCAGTTAGTTGCCGATGCCCCATTTCTAATTTTATTTTTACATTTTAATTTAAATTTTAATTTACTTTCAGCTCTATTATGATTACCGAAAACAATTAGGGAACACATTTTCACTATCAACTATAAAGAGTTTTCCCCTCAATAAACTCCTAATTTGCTGCTTATTGATAGTAAGTAGGTAGTTGTTGTAGTATGTGCTTTAGAAGTACTAATAAACAGCCAATATACTAGTATTATGTATGTTAATAAGCAACTAGTTATTAGTCAATATATGTTATTTAAAGTGTTACCGATATTTTTAAGTTTTAGTTAAAAACAACAACACCGATTTAATTATGATACCATGATAAAGAAACCGAATACGATTTCCGTCTTCAGTCAAAGTTGTCAGTTTAATATTTTAGACTATATATTAAGACATAAACGCAATGTACAGCATTGTAGGACTATCCCATAATGTGTTTGCTTTGAATTCTGGCCTACAAAAGATCCTCAAATGGAGCTGTGCTTCAAACGAGGAAAGACAAAAGCAAGATAATGGAAAAGTGATTTCCAGTCAGACGACACATAAAAGCCGGTATTCCCCCTCAATATTTCAATAGCCATTCACGTTCAGACAGTCAAGCACCTTTGTGAGCAGGTCTGGTCTCAGAACTCCAGCCAAACCTCTCGCTTAGCCTCCAGCCATCCAGTTCACATAAAACATGACCGCTTCTCGACACATCGACCAAACGGATTATCCCGACCGCAGCGCCAGAGCGCTCATATACTGCTGCAACCTGCACTCGCCTCACGCAAAACCCTTCATTTCAAAGGGGTCTTATCAACACTAACACCTCTGCGATACACACAACAGACTCAACACACACACACACACACACACACACACACACATGCACACGC